GTCATAGAGCAGATGTGAATTTAAACAAAGGGCAGACATTTTCCCATATCGCATTCTTTGGTATAATTGCTGATGAAGCAAAGTTATATTTTCTATAACAATCGACTACATTAATTATATTTTGTTTATAAAGAGGGTTTCGGGACCATCAGTAAATCAATTATATAAGATTTATCCACCCTATTTCGTTTAAGGTGATGAAGAAACAACTTAAATTTGCAATTTTGTCCATTCTTCATTTTGCTTCACTGAACGCAGAATCGATGCCTTGAGGTGGAAGACGAGCGAGATCGGTTCCGTGTGCAACTTAACCAACGAGATCAAGAACTGGCTGAGGTTCGCATTCTCTACGAGACTTTGGCAAAGGAGCGTGAACAGACCTCGGATATAGTACGCCAGGAATTTGCTGATCGACTGGTTCGTGGGGAAGAAGAGACGAGGAGGCTGAAGCGCGAGTTGGCCGAGATGAAAGCAAGAATGACAGTTGAGAAGGAGCATGCAGAGGCTAATGCAAAAAATGCAGAAGAAGTGGCTACAAAAGAGCTGCAGAAAGTGCATCAAAGGTTGTCATACTATGCCTAAAGAACGAATGGTAGGGGTAGATGTTGGAAGTTGCAGTGAAAGTATATGAAAGGAAATGTGACTACTGAATTTGAATAGGTTGCTTTCACAATAAATAATGAAGAACCGATTATAACGAAAGAAGGTTTTGAGGATAAGAACTAAGAGATGTTGATTATAAGGTGTGGTTTAAGTATGGGACGAAATGTATGCTTTACCATGATAGTATCAACAGGAGCAAAAGTGAATAGTAGGATTAAAAGTATCTTTATAAAAAGGCTCACTTAAACTGATAAAATTTACTACCCTTGATTATACGATTTAACATGAAAAATATTGTATGGTACATGTTTAGCTCGCATGCAGTAATTACCTTGCATTATAGTGACATGACTTTCCATTTTGAAGGAAAAGTTGGTTGTAAGGAATTTATGATGTGGTCTCATTGGAAAATGAAGGAGGATCAACGCGTAGAGAAGATTGTTGTACTGTGCGAAGAAGTCATCGACTCATCGTCCTGCGACTACGATAAACCTGTCCTAAGCTTTAGCCAGTATTGCGACAGGAATGCATGCTTTACGAAATTGAACAAAAATATAGTATACCAAGTCCGTATTTACCAAGTATATGCGAACCGGAAGAGCTTCGATGGCAGCTTTTTCCTTACACAAATAAACTGATGTACGATCCTCTAATGTTGAATCATGTTTGGGCTTGTGCTATTGTATTTTGCGTGTACGTAATGTTTATGACATAGAAGTATTATAATCATAGCTATACTTGAGGCTGATCCAGCCTCCTTTTGTTCAGTTGCTTTTCTTGCATTGCCTCTCTTTCCCTCTCCTTAAGCTTATCCAACAGCCGCAAACAATATGAGGTAAACTGGACTTCGAAGAATTCCTTAAGTAAATAATGTGAAATGACTATTTTGAAGGGAAAGTTGGTAGGAAGGAATTCGTGATATAATCTTACCGGAAACCGAAGAAGGATTGCCGCGTAGGGAAGACTGTTGAATTTAGCGAAGAAGTCCTGCGACCCCGATGAAACTGTGTTAAGCTTTCGTCCGTACTTTGACAGACATCAGCAGAGCAGGTATTCCTACTTCACGAAACAGAGCAAAAATATACTAAACTAAGAGTAAGAGTGGCCGGCTGCAGCCATAGTCGCTTTTTTATACACCTAACATCGGGATCCTAAATCAGTGAAACAGGAAGCTAAGGGAAGAAGCCTACGAGGCAAGAGGTGGACTCTGATAAGACCAGAAGAGAGCGGATTGTGGATTAAACCGCAGCTTTGGATCAACACTCCCGACACAGTGGGAGAAATAAAGAAACAAGCGAGGAGTGTGAATATATTTTAAATAGATCTAAATAAACAAGTAAGAAAGTGTGATATTAAAGGGGTGAAACGAGGATATAGGACAGATGAATAGCCCAGGATAGGAGAGATACCACAACTGTTTAGCACACATTTGGTCGAAGGATCAACTTTACTTGTCTCTTTGACGAGTTGTAGTGTGCTGCTAATAATGGGAAAGTATCAAGTCCACGGTCCGACTCTGGAAATGATAATACATACTATGGACTCCGAACAAGGTACGTTCCTCTAGGTCTTGCTGCCAAGTTGCGAAAACTGGGTCAAACAACTTGTATACGACGAAAGGAGACCGCGACCATACAAAAGGCCACACCATCCTGGTCTTCATATCTTCTCCCATGATTTTGTTGGCTACTTCAACCTTACTCTACATGCTTGCAAATGAGTAAACCGGAAGCGCGTTAGGTGGCAGCTGTTTCATTTCATAAAAAACTAGCGTAGCATCGCCTAATGTTGGATCATGTTTGGGCTTGTGCTATATTGTCTATTGTGTATATGCAATGTTCACGTTGTGGGAAGTGTGATAGTCCTAGTTAGACCCGAGGCTAATTTATCCTCCTTTTCTTGCTTAGTGGCTCTTCCTGCACCTCCTCTGTCTCTCTTTCCTTAAGTCCATCCAACAGCCACAAAAGGTTCCTACTTAGTTTTCTACATTCGTTCCTTTTTTTCAAGAGATTGGCTGTTTTGTTAATTTCTATAGACTCATAAGTCTTACACTTTGATGTTAAGGGCCCTTAACCCGCAAAACTTTGTGTTTTGTACAAGTCTATTGAGTGTCCTTTAATGGTCACATGTTCAGCAAGCTCACATTTATGGAACCATAGACCTTTACAAGCGATTCTGTGTTCGCATCTTCTCTATTGGATGAGTCGGCAGGTCTCCCCCACAATGACCTTACCAAATGAGCACAAAACCTTTTAGCAGCCTGATCTAGAAAGATGATCGTAAAAATCTCGAAATGAAGGCACTACTGAAGATATGAAGGCCAAGATGGTGTGGCCCCCGGTATTGTTGCAGTCTCCTTTCGATTTATTGAAGTGGGTTGACCTCGTTATCGCAACTTGGTCTTGCTGTCAGGGCGACTTAGTAGAACGAACTTTGTCCTAAGTCCTCTGTCATAATAGTTATCATTATTTCCAGCATCAGACCGTGGACTTGGTACAGTCTCAGACCTTCAAGCCCACGGTCTGATTCTGGAAATTATCATAACTTAATGACAGAAGACTTCGGACAAGGTGCGTTCTACTAAGTCGCCCCGACAACAGGACCAAGTTGCGACCCCACCACTCTTGAAGATAGTCTTAATTTTTCCCTATACATTGACATGACTTTCCATTTCCTGAATATATCACTCAACTTTTCAGCAAACTCACATAAATGCAAAATCCGAAACCGGATAGAATAGTCAAAATGACCATCTCGCACCCGAGAAAAATCTCCCTTCATAATTGCTTTTTATAAATGTATTACTGAATAAAGAAGGTAGTAAGTTAGGTAGAACCGTGTATAGAAAGCCTACATACGCTAATTTCCGAATTAATTTCTTTTCCAACCGTACATATTGAGTTAAAATTGATTTATGAAATCATTGATAATAATGAGTCTGCGTCTAGCAGACAGATGATCGGTAGATTAAGGCATATATTGTTTCGAAACAATTGCCCATTAGGAATAGTAGACAATAACATTTCAATTGTCAGTAACAAGATGTGGGGGTATTGCTATCTGAGGCGAGAGAGACAATTGGGCCATTCTCCTTATTGTCGGGTGATCTGCTGAGGAAGTGAAACATCAATACAACGTATAAAGAGCAATGAACACCTGCTTTAGTAGTTCATTCATCTAGAGATTTTTCGGACCCTCTTTCTAGATCAGGCTGCCACAAGGTTCTGCGCTTCTGTGGTTATGTCTATGTTGGGGAGACCTGTCGACCCATTCGGAAAAGAATATGTGAACTCAAAACCGCTTGTAAATGTCTATGAGAACAAAAATATGAGCTCACTGAGCACGGGTTACGGGGACTTCACATCAAAGGGCGAGATTAGGGTACCTACAGAAATCAACAAAACAGCTAACTTCCTGAATAGGGGAAACCAGTGTTGAAAATTGAGTAGGAACTATTTATTGCTGTTGGGTAGGCCTAAGGAAAGGGAGAGAGAAGAAGTACAGTAGGAGCCAGTGAACAGGAGAAAGTGACTGAATTAGCTTCTAGTCTAACTTTCCGTGACACTTACATTACATACACACAATAGACAATAGTACAAGATCATAAATAAGTCAACATTAGATGATCGTAAACTAGTTTATTTGTGTAAAGAAGTAGCTGCCACCGAACGAGCTTCCTATTCGTGAAGTAACTTCACTTATCTGCAAGCATGTAGAGTAGGGTTGAAGTAGCCGACCAAATAATGGGATACTTCATTAAGATCGCGAGGTTAGGTGCATAAAATGCGACTAAGGTCGTAGCCGGTCGCATTTTTTCTTGGTTCAGTGTATTTTTGCTTTATTTCATGAACTATGGATTCCCGCTCTGATGATGTCTGTCACGGCGGTACAGACGAAATCTTGGCACAGTTTCATCAGGGTCACAGGACGGTGAACCGAGGACTTCTTCGCACAATACAACAGTCTTACATACGCGGCAAACCTTCTTCGGATTCCGGTGAGACCACATCACGAATTCCTTCCAACCAAATTTCCCAAATAGAAGGTTATGTGGCCATGCATCACTAATGAATACTTCAAAACCCAGTTGTTCTTAATGTTATCTTGCAAATTTTTAATTTACTTATTTTTATATTTTTTATTGCTGCAGGGTTAAGGATGCAATTTCACGCAAGGAGGCAAATATGAATGATTTGAAGGAACAATATCAAAAAGAGAAAGAAGAATGGCAGAAAAAGGTGGAAATGACTCATCGGCGAGTTGAATATTTGGAGGGCCTGCTTGATCAGCAGAGGAAACAACTCCTGATGGTCAAGAAATAGAAAAAAAGACGTTG